TCATGTCCAACTACAACTAAAAATAAATATTAAAATAACTGTCAGTAATCAGAAAACAAACCAATAAAAAATGGGCAAAAAAAACCCAAAAAAGCTGGGCATGGTGGTGTGCACCTATAGTCCTGGCTACGTGGGAGGCTGAGGCAGGAAGATTGCTTGAGCCCAGGAGCAGCATCACAAGACTCCCATCTCGGGAAGGAAAAAACTGGTGAATCTGAGCACATACTTCATCCACAAAGTTATCCGGGTGGCACATAGCACGCAGAAGGTGCTCAGCATCGTGAGTCTTCAGAAAAATGCAAATTAAAACCGGGAGAAATGCCACTACACAGCTGTAACATGTTTAAAATCAAAAGGCTGATCATGTCAAACGTTAAGATATGGAATTTCTGTAGGTAAACTCTAATATATTGTCGGAAATGTAAAATGGCACAGTCCTTTGGGGAACTGTTTGGCAGTTTCTTAAAAATTAAACCTGTGATCCCAGCAGCTTGGGAGGCTGAGGCAGGAGGATCACAAGTTCAAAGCCAGCCTCAGCAACTTAGACCCTAAACAACTTGGGGAGACCCTGTCTCAAAAAATAAAAAAGGGCTGGAGGTGTGGCTCGGGTGTGGGCTCAATCTCTGGTACAAAATAACAACGACAACAAAACAAACAGAGAAAAATACCTTAAGCCTATCTATATATACCATATGATCTAGCCACTCCAGTCCTAGGAATTGATTCAAGAAAACTAAAAGTACATGATCAGCCAGAGACTGGTGCATGGTTGCATGAATGTTCATAGCAACTTTATTTGTAGCAGTTAAAATCTGTAAAACAAATTGGATATACAATGAAATACTATTTGGCAATGAAGAGGGGATGGACTGTTACTGATACATGCAAGACAAATCTCAAAGTAATTATCCTGAGTGAAATTGTTCTATTCCAAGCTAGAGAAGAGAGCGTAAGCTGATTCCGTGTATGTCAACTTTTAGAAAATGCAAACTCATCTAAGGAGACAGAAAGCAGGTTGGTGGTTGCCTGGGGAAGGGCGTGTATGGGGGAGTGGGGGGTGATGGGTATGTTCCCTGTCTTGATTGTGGTGATGGTTTCACAGGCGCAGACCTGCATCTTGTGCTCTTGGCGCCTCCCTGTGGCCAAAAGTGACAACTGCAGCAATTGAGGAATTCTATGGTAAAGCAGGGACCCTTCTCTGGAGCTGGTGAGGCCACGCCCATCACTCAGGGACCAGGTTTTCCTTTTTGGTGGTGTTAGGGGTTGAACCCAGGCCAGCACCCCACCCACGACCTACATCCCCACACCAGGGTCCAATTTTCTTTTTACAACATCTTCTTCCATCATTTTTGCTGGAACCTTTGGCCAGTCTACAGCAAATAGACCCTAACTGGGTCCAAAGAAGATGGAGAAGGCAAACCCACTGGGAGTGACCCCCCACACACACACCATGCCTCGAAGCCTACATTCTTCTAGAGCTTCGGACAGCAGCATTTTCACAGATGGATGGCAGATCGACTGACCAACTGACCCACAGGTAACTTGATTCCCTGCTCTTTTGGCTTTTCACAAACTGCCTTGAAAGCAATCTTTTGTGTGCTTTCCTCACCTTTTTAAATCGTACCCCAATACATTTCCTTTTTGACATGGCTATTAGGTAGCTCATGGTCAAGGCTAGGATCCAATTGCATGATGAAGTCATCTAGGTGCCTATTACTTGGTAATTTCCTGCTCCTTTTAGCTGGTTTTTTTTTTTTTTTTTTTGCTTTATAGCTGTGTTTTAAAAATAAAATTTAAAAATGTATGTTTTTTATGGCATGTTCCATTTTATGAAGTTGTGTTAGATTTTTTTTTTTAAATTTTCACAAACAGGTAAGGTTTAAGTAGTACAAAAAGAAAAAAAGTCAGCCTGGCATGGTGGTGTATGCCCATAATCCCAGCAGTTTGGGAGGCTGAGGCAGGCAGGAGGAGCGCAAGTTCAAAGCCAGCCTCAGCAACTTAGCAAGGTCCTGAACAACTCAATGAAACCCTGTGTCTAAATATAATAATAATAATAAAAAGACTAGGGATGTGTCTCAGTAGTTAAGCGCTCCTGGGTTCAATCCCTGGTATCAGGGAAAAAAAAATAAAGAAAATAAGAAAGGTAGTGAATGGTACCCTCTGTAAGGTCAGGGAGCATGTCCTGCACATTGTCCCTATGTCCCACTGTGTATCTGGGAGAGAACATTGCATGATATCAATATTCATTTAAAAGGACCGCAATTGTAGCTGAGTGGTAGAGTGCTTGCCTGGCACGTGTGAGGCCCTGTTGGATCCTCAGCACCATAAAAATAAATACATAAAAAATATGTTCAGGCTGGGCCAGTAGCTCAGTGGTATAATTACCTGGCATTTGCAAGGCCCTGAGTTCAATCCCGAGAACTATAGAAAAAATATTTTGGCTATATTAGATAATTCTTGATGATTATATAGGTGCTATCCCAAGGGAAAGTTCTGTATGGAAACTGGATGCTATTTTTGACAACTTTTCTACTTCCTGTTTCTGGTGGCACCTGTCTGGCAATGTCTGGGTAGGTAGAAGATTCCTGCCTTCATATCTGTTTGGTCCCTCGACCCTGGTGAATGCCTAAGAGGTCTATGCTCCATGACTTGCAGAGAATTTTTGCTGCTCCAAGGGGAAATGTGTTTAGGTCTGAGGTGACATGCTTCCGGTGGTGGTATTGTCCTTACTGGCCTCTTTCCTAAGTCAGCTCCCCACCTGCTCAAAGCTCTGACTGGTGGCTTAGGAACTTAGCTCACTTTCTCCAGACAAGCTCATCTTTCACTTGTGACTCAGTGAAACTGCCTTCAAAGCTGGGAGTGGTTCCCTGGGGACATCTGGCTACAGCTGAAATTGCCCATCTCTCACTGTTCCTAATAAGGCCCACAGATTATAAATTTCAAACTGTCCCAGTAGGATGTGCTCAGCATGGCTAATGAAGGATTTCAGCCTTTGGCCAAAAATGGCAGAGTTACTTGAAATCAAAGTGTCTCATTTAAGAGTAATGATTCTTTTAACAAGGAGCCTGGAGAATAAAACTAGATGGCCTAAGATAAAACACGAATCCTTGATCTATTTGCAGTGGAGACACTTTCCCAGTTTTCAGTGTTATGACCTCTTTTTTGTTTTTCCCTTGCTGTGATCCAAGGATGCAGGAATTTTGATTATTAAAAAAAAAAAAAGGGATTAGATCATGCTCTTGCTCATCCTTAAGATTTATTGGATTGCATCCCCAAAATGATGAAATTTAAAGTTTTGATTGGCTTCAACCCTCCTTTTCAATTGCATGCTCCTGGCACCCACCAATATTATGGGTCAGGCTATATGGGCAATGAGCAAACAGACTCTGTTTGACCCCAAGACTCCATGACATGTAAAAAATGCTTCTCCCCTGGGAAAGCTTTCCTGCCTCTGCACCCATCAACGGTTGCTTAGCATAGCATGTTGGCAATTCAAAATGGCAATTCTTATACAATGTAAAATTGTTCTTTTTGGTGCCCATTTTTATTGGGCAATGTACCCTATCAGAGAATATTGTCTAGATATTAGAACCATTCTTTAACTTGTACTCAACTAGGGTCTTTTTGACCCAGTTTCCCTTCTGCTTCTGATTTTAGATCTCATGATATTTGTTTATAGTCTTGAATCATAGCAACAACCACTTATGATTAATGTACTGACATGCTTTACTTATGCTATAAAAAATGTACTCAAACCCCTGGAGGGGGTTGAAGGGTGTAGACTTGTGGCCTCCCCCTTGGCCTGCCAGCTGGTGGATCCAGATGGCCGGCTGGTGAATAAAGTTTCTGCCTCTTGTTTTATGATTTATTACAATCTTGCCATAACACCTACCCTGGCCACCTTGGCAGCTTTGCACTTTTGCTACTCTTTCCCTCTGCCTGAAAGTCTTTCCTATACCCTCCCTGGCCTGCCACACCACCTTCATTCTGTTTATAGAATTCAAATCTCTTCCCTGTTGAGAATAGATAACAACACCCCTACTGCATACACCACTGGTGGCACTTTGCTTGCCTTAATTCCACTGGGCCTGGGTCAAAAGGTATCTATCTCTGATCCTATCTGCCTCTCCACCAAGCCCTAAACAGCTAGAGAAGGACCTGGATGAATAAGGCCCAGAGCCTTGCCTGCAGGAGGTCCTCTGAAATGGTTGGTTGTGGAGTGACTGACTTGTGTTAAGTTTTATTAATTCAAAATAGACCATATATTTGTACTCTAAAGGTACAGAAACACAAAGGCTGGGATTGTGGCTCAGTGGTAGCGTGCTTGCCTAGCATGCATGAGACACTAGGTTTGATTCTCAGCACCACATAACATACAAACAAAATAAAGATCCATCAACAACTAAAGAATATTTTTAAAAGATACAAAAACAATACCTCTGTTCTCTAACCACCCAGTTTCCTCCTAGGAACAGAATACCAGTTTCTTGTGAACCCTTCCTTAGGATATCAATGTTCTTTTTCAAACATTTATTTAACCACTTGACTACTGATGACATTTAGATTGTTTTCATTCTTTTGTTATTAAAAACAATATTGAGATGTAATCTTGATTTGGACCAACAGGTACATCCCCATATCTTCCATAATTTAAAGCATAAGCTTTTAGGAAATAGCTCAATGAATACGTAATTTACAGGTTATGTTTTGGATAAGATTTTGGGCATCTCTGATTGTTTTAGAAAAGTCTCAAGTCTCTGAATGCGGGGCTGGGCACAGGGGTGAGGGTGGGGGTGGTGCACGCCTGTAATCTCAGAGATTTGGGAGGTTTAGGCAGGAGAATCATGAGTTCAAAGCCAGCCTCAGCAACTTAATGAGCCTGTCTCAAAATATACAAAAGGGCTGGGGATGTAGCTCAGTGGCTGAGCGCCCCTGGGTTCAATCCCCAATACCAATAATAATTATAATAAATCCCTTAATAATCACCTGGATTTGAAGCCCATCCGTCAGCCACAGACTGAGGAAGTCGTTTCACCTGAGTCTCATCTGTAATCTGCATTGCAGCTGTGTTGTGGTATTAAATTGTGTCGCAGTACCAGACACATAATAGGCACCCAATAAACGGAGCTGTAATTATTTATTGTTTAATGATTTAATCATTATTTAATTTAACATGCTCTTATGCGGTGAGAGCGGATCACGGGGCTATTTGGTCTGCCGTCTTGAAGCGGAGGAAAGGGGAATTCCTCGTTAGCTCGCGTTAGCTGTACGGCTCTGGGCACTTCCGCTAACCGCTCTGGCCTGTTTTCCCGTCTAAGGACAGAATGCAATGCAGCTCGCAAGGTGTTTGTCCCAAAGCTTAAACGCAAACACTCCCAAGTGCTTAACGCACGATTCTCTTCCTTCTTCCCAATCTAATGGCGGAAACATCGAACAACCCATCAACCAACCCAGTCACCCCGGAAAAACAGAGCGATCGAGGCCTCTGGCGGGCGCGCCAGTCGTGGCCGTGCTCCGCGCGTCGCAGGGAAACGGCCTCTGAGCGGCAAAAAGTCTCTCGACTCCGCAAAGCCTCTCCAGGCTCCGGGGTGCGGAGGTCAGTTTCCCACGAGGCCTCCGCAGCTCAGCGGTCGCCCTGGCAACCCCGCCTTCCGGCCCCCTTTGCCCCGCCTCCACTTCCGGCTCCGATGTACGTCATCGCCTTGCGACCGACTGGAGTTTCCGGAAAAGGCCGTCCGGGAAGTACCGTGTGGGGGTGCGGTCCCGGGTGCGGGAGGTGGGGCGCGGGGTTCACGGTCTGTTCTCGGTGTCGCCGGCTGCGCCCCGACTCAGCGCCGCCATGGAGAGCGGAGGGCGGCCCTCGCTGGGCCAGTTCATCCTCCTGGGCACGAGCTCCGTCGTCACCGCCGTCCTGTACTCCGTGTACCGGCAGAAGGCCCGGGTCGCCCAAGAGCTCAAGGTCAGTGCTAGGGCCTCAGCCGGGCGTGTCTGCCCGCGGCCTCAGCCGGGCGTGTCTGCCCGCGGCCGCGGGGACCCACAGCTCACCTTGGCCACCCCACAGTGGGAAGCCTGCAGAAGAGGAAGCCGGCGCCGGGACGGTGTTCCCCAGCCCCGCCGGAGGAGCAGGGGTGCGAAGTCAGGTCTGAGACCACGGCCGCTCTGCCCCTTAGCCCTAAGCCCCTCTCGTTACTCAGGACGACTCTTCTTCAACTTTGTTCTGAAACTGTTTCTCGAACCGTGCGCCAGGCAGTGAGTAGCAAAGACTAGTCTGTCCTCGTGAAGATTCCATGCTGGTGACAGCAGGACAGACGGTAAACAGGTGGTGTAGCCCGGGAGACGTGTTGTGGACTAAGGCAGGAAAGGGGGCTTGCTATTTTAAACAAGGTGACATTTGAGCAGAATACAAGGAGGAGATGGGGTTGCAGTTCAGACCCGGGAACTGCAAATACCGAGACCCATTTATTTTAAAAACTCCTTGGTTCAACAAATTTTCCCTTTTTATATTATACTTATTTTTTTCAACTCATTTTTTGAACAGCATTTTAGTTTGCACAGCATTGTTTTCATTTTTTCTGCACAGTAGTTTTCTGAGGTAGATGAAATGACAACACCCCTCCCCCCATTGTAAATTGGGAAATTGAGATTCAGAGGATAGGTCACATAGCTATTTACCTTGGAACTTAGGTCTTTTGAGTCCTAGCGTAGGATTATTTTTTTTTCCCCTCGATTGACCACATTATTTTAATGGAACTGTCAGAGTGGTCCAGAGAGGTGTACCTCTAGGTCAGAGACAGGGTTTTTCCTTCTAGGTTCTGTTTGAGACTGGTAGTTGCTCAATAAATGTTAGTGGATTTGTTTTGTTTGAAATTTCACAATTCACCTACTAAAGATTTAATTTGTATGAAGGGCAGATTTCCAAACATAAGTTCTTTATCACCAGATTGCTTTCATTAAGAGCTTAGAAACAAATGTGGGAAATCCCTGCAGGTAAGAAGTTTAGGAATCTAGAATGAACCAGTTTGTGAGGTAATTGGATTTGCTGTGCAAATGGTATCCTGGTGAGGTTCCAGCTGCCTTGTTATTCATCTAATTAAATAAACAAGTTACTGCTGAGTCTGTTGGCTCTGAGTATAGCTGATACTTCACTTTCTGATTTCAAAACCAATTTGGCTTCAAGTTGGCTTGGGGTGAGGATCTTGAATGAACTCTCCAGGTGATCTTTGGGTGATCTTAAAAGCTTTGCTAATTACTTTCTTTATAAGGATGAAACAGCCCCTCCTAGAAAAAGAATTGAGACTCCTGATGTGTTAGATTCTCTTTTCTGGGTTGGATTAAGAAACTTCCAGAGTAGGGTTTGTTATACCCTTTTTGTTTCTCATAGTGATAGGAGTGCATAATTATTGAATACTCCTATCTGCCCACCCCTGGGCTGGATTCTTCCACTCCTTGAAATTCACTTAATCCACGTAAAAAATGCTATGAGATTATGTTTCCCTCATCTTTAACAGTTTTGGAAACTGAGATTCATCAGATCAGTTGAGTTCCCCAGAGTTACTGGGGATGAGGTTGATCAACACAATGTCTTTCTGAACTTATTCACCACCTCTCTGCCCTTTAAAAATTCTTTCTCTTTCTTTCTTTCTTCCTTTTTTTTTTTTTTGTACCAGGGATTGAACCCCTGAGCCACATCCCCAGCCCTTTTTTATGTTTTATTTTGAGACAGGGTCTCTTTGAGTTGCTTACAATCTCACTAAGTTGCTGAGGCTGGCTTTGAACTCTCAACCCTCCTGTCTTAGCCTCCCAAGATGCTGGGATTACAGGTGTGCACCATCACCATGCTGGGCTCTGCCCTTTAAAATTCTAATTGTCCATAGTGATGGATTTTCTCTCTCTTTTTAACCAACTGTAAAGTAGGCAGGTAGCTACACTGCTCTGAGCCTTGGTTTCCTTTCTGTAATTGCAGGTAATAATGCCTACTGTATGGGGACAACACCAGCATTAATAGGTTTATGCATTTGAAGTGCTTAGCATAGTGCCTAGTACAATGGTGTATCTAAGTACTTTAATCATTGATTTATTTGTCAAATAAATATATATCAAGTACTTGCTGTGTGTCAGGCGCTATTCTCAGCAGTAGGAGAGACTCCATTCTAGTACAGCTTGACCAACAAAAGCGCATGATCAGATGGTATGACACAGTGATAAAAAAATGTTTTAGAGTAAGGCAGGAGAAGGGAGCACCAGGGGTGGGAGAACTGGGGGTTGTTGGAGGAAGACAGCAACAGAAGTAACAGCAGGCTTGTTTGTGAGAGGGAAGAAAGACAAATTAAAAAGTAGCAGATCACTGTTGGGCACCAGTTAACAGAGACTTGCCCGAAGAAAACAAAGGCACCTCTTTATTATAACAGAGTGCAGGGCATCCATTCACAGAGGCACGGTGGTAATTAATACCTACCATTTTTTGAGCCTCTACCATGTGCTTTATACAACAGCACTGTGTTGTCAAGAAGAGATTAAATGTGTTCAAATTAAAAGGGGCATCGGTTTTGGTTAAATAGAAAAAAGAATGTATGTGGCACACTCAGTCTGAAGTGACTAAAGAGCAGAGGCCCTGCTCCTAGCCTGTTTTACATGTTGAAACTCTGGGACAGCTTTTGGAGTCGAATTATCTGTAGTATTCTTTCTGCTCAGCTTTTTTTATTCTCAACATGAAAAAAACAGATATTTTTTTGCCCTTAAGTTTGGTTGACTATGTTAGTATTCATTGGCCAATTTAATTTTTGTGTGTGTATGTGTGTTTAGGGAGCTAAGAAAATCCACTTGGGTGAAGATTTAAAGAGTATTCTTTCAGAAGCTCCAGGAAAATGTGTGCCTTATGCTGTTATTGAAGGTATGTTTGTTTAATGGTAAATGGAAAACAACTTCCTTCTTCCAAAAGTTTGATAATTATATTGGCTGGGCTGGGGGTGTGGCTCAGTGTAGAGTACTTGCCTAGTACCCACAAGGCCCTGGATTTAATCCCTACTACTGCAAAAACAAAAAGATTGTCTTGGCTGACATTAAGAGCCTTTTATGGTGTTGGGGTTCATTGTCTGAATGCACTTTGGGGTTAGAAAGATCTGAGTGATTGCCCTGTGACCTTGAGAAAAATTTTCAAACCTTTTTTGATCTCTTATTATACTAGAGATTATTTATCTGTAAACTAATTTCTACTTTGTAGAGTTGTTGTGAGACTTAAATGATGTGACCCAGGTAAGGTGCTCAGCATAGTGCTCCTAAGATGTACCTTAGGGTGGTACAATACAAATGTATTCACTTTGATTAATTAAGAGACCGAAACCTCATTCTGAATCACCTGAAAGAGAGGGCAAAACAGTTCTTCAGAAATGAAATGATTTATTTCTGTTTAGGAGCTGTGCGATCTGTTAAAGAAACACTGAACAGTCAGTTTGTTGAGAACTGCAAGGGGGTAATCCAGCGACTGACGCTTCAGGAGCACAAGATGGTGTGGAATCGAACAACCCACCTTTGGTATGTGTCCTTTCCACCCCAATGAAAACTGTAGCTGGTCTGTCCATAGGCTGGGGTTCTGGGTACCCCCATCTTTAACAGTTTTGATCTGAGATTGCTGTCTTCAGCATCTCCCGAGTAGGTTGAAAACCAGCCTGTGATGCTGGCGATACCACTGTGTGTTCCATGGACCTCTGTCGGAGCCCATAGGCAGCTTATTACAATGAAGATTCATGGGCCCACATCCTGGCCTACCAAACTAGAATTTTCAGGTTAGAAGGGACCTGGAATCTGTTGATTCTTAAGCACTCTAAAGTTTGAGGACCACTGATTTATAGATTAATGACTTCAGTGTTAAAATAATTTTGTGCTCTTACATGGAGTACCAATTCTCCATCTGATTCTAGCAACTTTTGTCTCAGATGTCTATCTGACAGTGGCAAAGGGACCTCTGCTGGTACTTTCTGCCCACTGACCCCACCTTAGGACCTAGGCACTGCAGCCTCACATCATGAGGTCAGAGAGTAGTGATTGCTGTTGCAGTCCTAGTTAGAGTGAATTCTGTCCTGTCCTGCTGCCACTTAGGTGATCTCCCACTGCCTAGATATCTCGCTCTTGGTTTCATCTTTAGTCCTCTTATTCTTTTAGGAATGACTGTTCAAAGATCATTCACCAGAGGACTAACACTGTGCCCTTTGATCTGGTGCCTCATGAGGATGGCGTGGCCGTGGCTGTACGAGTGCTGAAGCCCCTGGACTCTGTGGACCTGGGCCTGGAGACTGTGTACGAGAAGTTCCACCCCTCAGTCCAGTCCTTCACCGATGTCATTGGCCACTACATCAGTGGAGAACGGCCCAAAGGCATCCAAGAAACTGAAGAGATGCTGAAGGTGGGGGCCACCCTGACGGGGGTTGGTGAACTGGTCCTAGACAACAACTCCGTGCGTCTGCAGCCCCCCAAGCAAGGCATGCAGTACTACCTAAGCAGCCAGGACTTTGACAGCCTGCTGCAAAGGCAAGAGTCAAGCGTCAGACTCTGGAAGGTTCTGGCCCTGGTGTTTGGCTTCACCACGTGTGTCACCCTCTTCTTTATTCTCCGGAAACAGTATCTGCATCGGCAGGAGCGCCTGCGCGTAGAGCAGCTGCAGGAGGAATTCCGGGAACATGAGGCCCAGCTGCTGAGTCAAGCTTCGCCTGAGGACCGGGAGAGTCTGAAGAGTGCCTGTGTCGTGTGTCTGAGCAGCTTCAAGTCCTGCGTCTTCCTGGAGTGCGGGCATGTCTGTTCCTGTCGTGAGTGCTACCGTGCCTTGCCAGAGCCCAAGAGGTGCCCCATCTGTCGGCGGGAGATCACCCGGGTGATTCCCCTGTACAACAGCTAGCGGTTCTGCAGAGCGTGGCTGCACTTGGAAGCCGCCCTCTCCGAGTGGGGATTCATTCTTGAGGCCTTTCGAAGAGCAGCCATGGGGGTAGCTCTGCCTCCGGGTGTGACTGAGTGGAGTCTCTCCAGACCCACACCTCCACCAGCAGAGAGCCTTTCTGACCTCCCCAGAGCATCTAGAGGGGCCCCACCCTGGGTGGGTTCCAAGGCCTGGCATTTTTTCCTAGGAACCTGCTGGGGGTATGTATGTGTATGATAAAGCATCCTGTCACCTCAGCACCAAAGCCACTGATCTTTTCTGGTGACTCTTGGTTGCTGCAGACCTCAGAGAGGAAAGGCTGAGCCCGGGGCCTTCCAGAGCTGTACCTGCAGAGACTGCCCTTGCTTTCTTCCTTTTGCTTCCACCGGGGATAAGGTCTTTCTTCAAATTGTCAGGCTGGGCAGGTCACTTTTGTCTTTCCCCTCACCTGCTTGCCTCCCAAATGTGTGCACACATGTGGACAGGGCAGGAGGGGGTGAGGTCAGCACATCTGCTTCTGCCTACACAGTGGGACACGGATCAGCAGACACCAAGAGGTGTCTCTCGCTTGGTCTGACAGCCCTGCTGGTATCTTCACTGACCAAGGGCGGGACACAGAGAGCAGACCTCTGGCCCTGATGTGGAGCTGCTGCAGCTGGGCAGGCCTGGGTAGCTCTGGATTGCCTGACAAAGGATGAGCCCAAAAGGCCTCCGCTGAAGGAAGCAGTGAGGGCACAGCCCTCCTGACCCCTAGCTCTTGCAGCTTCTTTGTGGCAGCTTCTTTGCTTGCTTTTGTCTAGGAAAAGTAGCCAGCTGGCACCCTGAGCTCTGGGCCTCTCAAGCCCGCCCCTTGACCCCTGCCTGGGGCCAGGGCACAATCCCAGCACCGTGTTCCCTCTTACCCTCCACTCCTCACACCCCTGTGCTGAGCCTGTGAGTGCAGGAAGAATTGGGGAGCATCCTTCCTGCCTCTGAGTGGCCAAGAATCGTGCACACAGCTCTTATTTCCCTTCTGTGTCCTTGAACATTCATCCCCTGCTCCTCCTCTGTGTGGGGGGAGGGGTGCTCTCAGGGGGCTGACACTAGCCATAAGCAGTGTCCCATGTGAACAGCACAAATTAAACATTGCGGCCTTGTGTTTGCCTGTTATTTGTTAATGAGTTAAATGGCTAAGCTGAAGCCTCCCAGGATGGAGCTGATCCCTGCTGGGACAGAATGAAAACTGGGGAGTTCAGGGTTCTTTGGCTGTGAGGTGGTCTAGGTTCCGCCAGCTGAGGTGCAGCTCAGCAGTGGAGAAACCCTGATGCTTGCCACCACAGGAGGAGTCTGGTGAGCCCAAAGGACCCTCCTGGACAGCCAGCCCATGGTCAGGCACGCCTGGCCTGGCTAACAGCCATCTTTGAAGTCTGTCTGGATGTCCTGAACATCAAAGCACTGAGGATTCTCCTGGGAGCATTGGCCGGGGTGGGGCCTCGGGGGACAGAAGGGCAAACAGTGGGCACGGCTGTGTGCCTGGTGTTACACCATGCACCACTTCAAACTTCAGTTGCAAAGTGAGTTCCCCCTCAGGCAGCTCTCAGGTTGAGTCCTCAGCTTCCCTGTATAGATGAGAAATTGGCCCTGAGGGGGGAAGTTCATGGGGGTGAGGACATAAGAGCTGTCATGTGATGGATCCCAATCTGAACTATTGTTTGCTGCCCACCAGCAGCAGGCCCAACAGATTCCTCTGTCAACAGGACACTCAGTGAGATACTGGCTCCCAGAGTTGGTAGAGCAGTGGTGCCCATACTGGAGGAAGACTGGGCATTGGAGGTCCCTGCTTGATCCTGGCTTGTCTGGGACTGAAATGGGCACACTCCCTGCTGTGGCCTTCTGTGGCAGTTTCTATCTTGCTTTAGGAGCCTCATCTCCAGGACAGGGAATGATGGGAGGAAGGAGGTAGAAAGTTAGTACTAAGTGGGATCTTTGTGAATGATGTCTTCCTTGTGCTCAGTCACTTTGCTCCTGGGCAGCAGTGGTGGGCAGGAATCATCTTAAGTTATTACTGCTGGTGCTCAGAACATCTGGGAGCTGCTTTATGCATTAATGCTTGCTGTCTTACACAGTGGATGTTGTCACTTCTGTTTCATAAATGAGGACAGGCTTGGTGGAGTTACATCTTGCCTGTGGCCACATAATCACAAACCAGGCAATGTTAGGCTCTTTAGGGGTATTGTTTCTAATACAGCAAACCAGCAAGGGAGGTCAAGGCTACCACTGCCTGAAGACAAAGCCCCCGACTTTTGATTACATTAGATTGGGACTGCATCAGGTTTTCCATGAGGCAGCTGGGTGGGTCCTCCTCACCCACAGGGGATTATTTCCAGGACCTCTGCAGATGCCATAATCCATAGGTGCTCAAATTCCTCATAAAATGGCCTAAAATTATAACCTGTGTAGTTCCTCCCTACACTTTGTTTTTGTGTGTTTTTGAGGTGCGGGATGGAACCCAGGCCTCCCACATGCTAGGTAAGTGCTCTATCACTGAGCTACACCCACCCCCCAACACTTTAAATTGTTTCTAGATCACGTATAGTGCCTACTACAAGGTAAATGCTGTGTTGGTATACTATTGTGTATAATATTGATTGATGAGGGATAAATGTCTACATGTTCAGTATAGATGCAGTTCCCCACGCCCTGGAATACTTTAGATTTCAGCTGATTAAATTTTACAAGTGCAAAACCCACAGATTTGGAGAACCAACTGCATTTATTATCATAAACAGCATTTTACATACCAGTCAGCACCGTGAGCATTCCAGCAGATCCTAGTAGAGAGGGTTGGCAGGCAGTCTTCAGAAGCCTAATTCTTTCAGAATTCTAATGAAAATTAAAGAAGCAAACACCTTGACAAATCAGGCCATCCTTGGATGCCCTTTAGTCTGGTCCCAGGATTTGAAGAGGCCAGTTGGGTGATAGAGCTGAGGCTGGTGAACCTGCAGGGCTTCTGGAATTCGAGGGTGTCACTCACGGATATTTATCCATCTAACATTTGTATTTTGTGTCTGGGGATGTAAAATGCATAAGACCCAGTCCTTGCCTGCACAGGGCTCAGATTTGTGCTTCAGAGCATCCTAATTACTTGCAAGTCTTCTAGGGATGAGGGCTCAGTTCTTTGGAATGCTTGTGGTTCACAGAATATTATAGCTGGAAATTTTCTCTCAGCTGTTTTTGGCTACTGTAAGAGAAAAATCTGAGACTGAGTCATTTACAATAAACAGATTTCTCTCTTGAGGTTCTGGAGCCTGGGAAGTCCAAGAGCAAACACCAGCATCTGGCAAGGGTTTTCTTGCTGCATCACAACATGGCAGAGGGCGTCACATGGTGAGGAAGCCCAAGAGAGACCAAAAAAAATAGAGTAGAACTCATCCTTTTAATAGGACTCCATTCCCAAGATAACTAACCCACTCTTTCCATAAAGGCCTTAATCCACTCTGTGACCTAACCACCTCTTAATGGTCCAAGGGCAATTAAATTTTAATGAGTTTGCAAGGGGTCAGTCAATCCATAGAGGGTCTTTGAGGTTGGCCAGGTTGCAGCAGTTCTCTGACCCTTAGAAATAAACCAATGAAGGGCAGTGTGTCATTGCAGGAGATCCCACGAGAGGAAAAGCATTCCCCTCCAAATCCAGGGTGATTTATTTAAGCCACCAACCTGACCATGTCCCTCATAACAAGAACCTGAGCTCCTTGCCACCTACAGAATCGAGGTATGGCTCTGTCACGCAAAGCTCTGCATGACCCAGCTCTGGCCAGTGCTCCAAGCCTGTCCACATCCCTGTTGGTCTCACACTTGTGACTTCAGCAACACTGAGCCATTGAGTTCCCAACACTTGCCGTGCTCTTCCTGCCTTTGCTCATGCTGATCCTGCTCTGTAGTCGAGGCCTTCCTTCACCATCTGAGTCTATCTACCCTTTAAACTGTGCTTGAGGTTTTGCCTCCAGAAAAGCTTCCCTGACCCTTCCCCTCTGGACTGGTTGGATGTCCCTCTTCTGAGATTCCAAATTTTTTTTTTTTTTTTTTTTGCAGTACTTGGGATTGAACCAGGGGCCCTCTACCACTGAGCTACATCACCAGTTCTTTACATTTATTTATTTATTATTATTGGTACTGGAGGTTGAACCCAGGGATGCTTAACTATGGAGCCACATCACCAGCCCCTTTTTGTATTTTATTTAGAGACAGGGTCTTGCTAAGTTGCTTAGCATCTCACTAAGTTGCTGAAGCTGGTTTTGAACTTGCAATCCCCCTGCCTCAGCCTCCCTAGCTGCTGGTATTACAGGCATGCACCACTGCATCCGGCTATTGTCTTTTTTTAAAACTTTTTTAATATTTATTTTTTAGTTTTCGGCAGACACAACATCTTTGTATGTGGTGCTGAGGATCGAACCCAGGCCGCACGCATGCCAGGCGAGCTCGCTACCGCTTGAGCCACATCCCCAGCCCTTTTTTTTTTTCTTAAATAGTGTTTTTAGTTTTTAGGACACTATTTATTTATTTTTTTATGTGGTTCTGAAGATTAAATCCAGTTCCTCACATGTGCGGAGGCAGGCACTCCCTGAGCCCAGCCCTAACCCTGGCTTTTTTTTTTTTTTTTTAATTACTTTGAGTCAACCTCTTGCTAAGTTACCCAGGTGGAATTGAGCTTGTTTGGGATCCTCCTGCTTCAGCTTCCTCAGTGGCTGGGATACGGGTGTGCCCCACCATGCCGGGCCCAAAATACATTCTTGTTTCTCTCTGTCTCCCTTTTTTTTTTTTTTTAATGTTTATTTTTTAGTTGTAGTTGGACACAATACCTTTATTTCACTTATTTTTATGTGGTGCTGAGGATCGAACCCAGGGTCTTGCACGTGCGAGGCGAGTGCTCTACCACTGAGCCCCAGCCCAGCCCAGCCCCACATTCTTGTTTCTCTGTTCCTGCTCTTAACCATATTGTACAGATCTCAGGCAGGGGCTGTATTTTTTCATTTCCTTCTCCAGCTTCGGTTGTCAATATGCACTACTTAGGGTGGACACCAGGGCTGGCTCCTTGCTAGGGACCTGATGAGTGCTGTGTGTGATTGCATTCTCACGTGTGTGTGTGTTTGTATTATCCATATTTTAAATAAAAGGAAGTTGAGGCCCAGAGAGGTTGAGAATTCGAGGGATAGGATTGAAACTCAGGCAGCCCAACCCCCGAGTCTGACCTCTTAATCCTGAATGTCCATGAGATGGAGGAGTAAACCAGTGAGTGAGACAGTAGGTGTGAAGGAAACAATCCTGGAAGGCTGCCTGGAGGAGTTAGCTCTCGGACTGAAGATGACAGCCGTGACTTGGTTGTAATGAGTAAGGGGAGGGTCTTCTTTAAGGCCTGGGTGCCAAGAGGGATGAATTGTGTAGGAAGAACATCATGTCCAGTGACCTCTCTAGAGCTTTGGGACTCCACACAGGAGAGTTAGGACAACGTCATTGGATGGTGATAAATCGTCGAACTGGGAACTCAAAGATTGGCTTTCTCTCTGGTCCTAGTACCATCACTTTGTGATTTTTTTTCCCCCCCAGGGATTGAACCCTGGGGCGCTTAACCACTGAACCATCTCCCCAGCCCCTTTATTATATTTTATTTAGAGACAGGGTCTTGCTGAGTTGCTAAGGCCTCGATAAGTTGCTGAGGCTGGCTTTGAACTCATGATCCTCTTGTGTCAGCCTCCCAAGCTGCTGAGATTATAGGCATGGGCTACCGCACCCAGCTTGCTATGTGATCTTGATGTAGTGATTTGACTCTCTGGGCCTTTGTTCTGTCTCTAAAAGGCGCAAGTTGGATTAGAAGCTCTCCAAGGTTCCAGACGGCTCAGATATTTTGCATGTCCACAAGATGGAAAGCAAATGAGGGACCTAGAAGGGCGTTTTGAAGCCCTCCTGTGGGGCTGTGGGGCTGAGAGATGAGACATGACTCCCTCCTGGCTAGCTGTGCCCTGGCCTGCGTTCTCAGAAAGCTGAGCTGGGGCGCACAGCACATTTTCTCTCTAATTAGAGAGTGTGAAGTTATCCATTTTGAATGAGATAAGTTTCCATGCATGATGTCCCCAACTGCTCCCTGAAGTGCTCATTAGTC